AAAAGAGGAGAGTTCTCTCCCTTTACAAAACCAAATCACTCAAATTGTGGTTGAGACCATATTTTCTATCTTAGCTACTCTATTTCATAATTGAATGTATTAGGTATACTAGACTCTTGTGATTAAACTCCGGAAATGGAAAAGCAGACAGACAAGTTCTATTTCTGATGACAAGCTCCTGGGAGGTTAGATAGGGGTGAAGGGTTACAAACCTGCACTCCTCAAAGACATGGAGCTTGTCTCACTTACATTAATATTTTCTTCCATGTAGACTAAGTCAGCAAGAAGCCACCAGATCTGGTGAGATTTGAATCTTTTTTGCCTAGTGATTTGTGAGTAGGGGATTCTACCTAACCTTTGATGATCATGAGAACTCTGCCCTAGCCCTCTGACAATGACTACAATCAATAAGAAACCCATTTGAGGGTTTTCATATGTGCTTCTCTTTCATCTTAATAATTGTTTTCAGGAAACCTTAACTAATCCTTCATGTCACCTTAGGCAGGCAGGCATTTTCTTTTTCTTTTTTTTTTTTTTTGTATTATTGCTAGTTGATGCTTTGTTCATACTTCTTTGAGTCCTGTTCTTTTCTGCTTATTTTATTTCGGGGTGTGTGTCTGTGTGTGTGTGTGTGTGTGTGTGTGTGTGTACATGTGTGTGCTTATATGTAGAATATAGAGATCTATTCTGGTGCCTTCCTCGGTTGTCCTTGTTTTTTGAGCTAGGGTCTCTCAGTGAACCTGAAGCACATCAGTTTGTCTAAGGTGACTGGCCTGTGCCCCTGGGATCCAACTATCTCTAGCCCCAGTTTGCTGGACAACAGGCATGCACCACTGTGCCAGGCTTTTACTGGTCACTAGGTATCTGAACTCAAGTCTCATGAGTGCACATCAGGCCCTCCATTGACAGAGCCATCTTCCCAATCTCCCCTTTTTATTATCTTTTCATTTTATTTTATACAATCTGAATTATCTACCTTTCTTCCCTCCTATAAGCTACAAAAACAAAGCACAAATACTAATAAAAAGAATCATGAGACTTACTTTATCTAAATAGAGGAAGTTGTGCTACAGACACTGAACAATAGCCAAGTGCTTCACAAAGCTCCCTGTCCCTGTTCTCAGGAGACAGGAGAGTTACAGTCCCACATCTAAAAGTCCTCTCTAGGAAATCCACTGAATATAGTCCACATCAGAATCCCACAAACAACAGTCACAGAGCCCCAGAATGAAACCTTAATAGATTTAGAATACCTTGTTATCATCAAGACTGAAAGATAATTGAAAGATTTTTTGTTTGTTTTCTGTGACTGTGTGGCATTGCAAAGGTCAAATTGAACATTATTGATGAAAAGGTCATCTGATTGCAAGTGTGTTTGTTGATTCATCAGCTAGAGGTTTCCATGTAGTATAGATATAGGTAGTGTGAATTTGTTACATAGAACAAAATATTAACAAAATTTTCCTTTGTGTTACTATTTTGAGATCAAAATAGATTTCTTCAGATTAAAAGGATTGGTCAAGATCCTCATAGTTTTATGAGGTAGCTGACTCTCAGAATTATAAACTGTCTATTCTGAGGCCATAGGAAGGTACAGTGTGTCTAGGAAACAGAATACTTTGTAAACCAATAAAATTGTTTATAATAGAATTTCTATGATTGCTACAGACACCACTTAGTTATTCTTATTATATTGTTATAAAACATTCTTTCATTATTTTCAAAAATATATAATGACAGTAGCCTGTAAAAATCCATTATGCTCACTGCTTTTCTCTATTTTGTGAACTCATTCAACATAAAGCCATTTGTGGATAAATCAGTACTGTGTTTAATACTATATCTTGAAATGAATATGTCTGAAATGAAAATTCTGTTTTAAAATATCAATTAAGTGATTACCATGTATAACCATGCTTTTAAGTTCTGCAAAATTTTAAATATAATGGTAAGAATACATATAAATCATTTAAAAGCACTCTGCAATATTTGTTAATTCATTGCCCATACGAATATTTTCTTGTTATTTAATATAAAAATATATGTTCTTTATGTATATAAAGATTCATGTATGATATAAAGATAATATATAATGTATTTTACATGCCACTTCTCTTTTGAACATTAGTGTTAAATTATGTAAACTTTGAAACAGCTAGGAATCCTGTCTTACTCAAGCTTCCTCCAAATCTAAGCCTCAAATAATGACTCACTGCATTTTGTTTAGGTCTTAGAATTCTTTTTCCTTTAAAATGAGATCAGTTAGCAAATTGAAAGAAATTGACCTGGCTTTTCTGTTTTGATGGAGGCACGGTGGTATCTTGTTTCTGAGAGACACATCAGGTTAGAGTGTAACTATGTACAGTCCAACCTTCTGTGGCATGTAGTTTTTACAGGGACAGAGTGCGCTCATCATAATGATTGCTCATTTAGATCCCCAGGTTCTTCATGCTGCTGTATGTTATTTCTCTCTCCTATGATCCAGTTAACCAAGAAAAGTAATTTACGGTACTGGCTGTATCCATACTGTGTAACCACTATGAATTATGAGCTAAGCATACATATTCTTATATGATTACTTTTTTGCAAGAAGCATTTTAAAGATATTAAAATACTAGGATTCCAGTTATCCTCTAGATATTCATTCATAAGAAGCAGAATGGAGATGTAGTTTTTATGGAATATTCACTAATGACCTGTTCCAAGAGGTAAAGTTCTTGAGTAATTTCATTGAAATTCCTACAATCTATTAACATCATGTCTGCCCGTGTACGCCTGTATAGAAGTCAGCATTTTTGCTCATCCCAGTGCTTGAGCTGTCTTACATGCTTGTTGCAGAATGTCATGGAGACAGTATTTTCTGTCATTCAGCAGTTTGCTTCCCTTGTATGTTCTAGATTCAAATCTCCTTAGATTTGTGATTTAATATTTATTCCTTTCTGTGGATTCTTCAATATCTTTTGAAGCAAATGTTTTCATTTTTAGATTCCTAACTTATCACACTATTCTTTTTGCATTTGTGAATTATGTATTTTAAGTGATATTTTTATTTTTTGAGGATTTCATGACCACTTGCTCTGATTTCTCATTCTTGTTTGTTTGTTTGGTTTGGTTTTTTAAAAAAAAACAAAAACAAAAACAAAAACAAAAAACAAAAAACAAAAAAAAAACCTTTGTATTAATTCTTCGTGAGGTTCACATCATACACCCCAGTCCTTCTCATCTAACTGTCCCTTTGTATCTCCCCTTGCAACCCCCTCAAAATAAATAAAATAAATAAAACAAAGAATTAAAAACATTTCCCTATGGAAGTGGAGTATGTCACAATATGTCCCAAAGTATAACCTTTTGTCCACACAACATTACTTACAGTGTTTATTGCTGTGAGGCACTGGTCTGGTCAAGGCCTCTGATTTCTTTTACACCATCAATTCTGAATCCTCTCCAGGATTCCTCTCTCTTATAGTGATGTTGCCCTGAGTCATGGAGATCCTTGTAGCTTTGGAACTGCAGGAGAAGCCCTTTCACACACTCCAGCAGTTTATAGATGACATAGATTTTAGAGGTGGCCCACTTAAAAATTCTGGATCTGGACCTGGTAATAAGTATCTTAGTTGGTCAGCCCACCAACTCTTCCATCCACACCACCAGGGCAAGCTCTCCATTGCTCTGACTAGCTTACTCAAGTGGTAGAGTTAGCTCTCCTGCATTCGTGCCCACACCCTTAGGGATAACTGATTCACTGGTGCTGCTGCCCCCAGGTCCAGCATGTGCTGCCCAGTCGAGGTCCAGGGCCTGCCCTCTCTTATGTTGTAGCCAGAGAGCGTCAGGGTCACCTCTCCCATTTTTGTTATTCCCAGGGCCACCTCTCCCAACTACTACTGAAGGTGGTAAAGGGCCAGGTGGGGAGGGCATCATGCCTTCATCCATGCCACCTCACAACAGACAAGTGACAGAGCCAGCTCTCATGCACTCATACTCTTGGGGCCAGTTCATCCACATCCCTGTCACCCGGGTCAGCTCTACTGTGCTGCCCAGGTGTGGTACAAACCCAGCTCTCCTGCTTTCTTGACCTCAGGGACAGCTCTCCCAACTGCTACCGTTGGTAAGGGGCAGGGTGACAGTGACTGTCTATTCTTTTCCACCAAACATTGAACATTGTTTTTTCCTCTACGAAAGTTCAGTTTCTATTGCCCAACAAGTCTTAGGAATGAAATCTGTGGTCAACCTACTAGGGAATATACCATTAAAGAAAACTGAAGCTCCCTCTGACAACAGCTATCACATGCCAATAGCAAGATGTGGGACTTGTGCTCACCTGTCCTCTTCCGTGGTGGCATTTTGTTTGACTTGAGCCTGCACAGGTCTTATGCATGCTGTCACAGTCAGTGTGTATTCATATACATAGCTGCTTTGCTGTGTGAGAAAACACTGCTTCCTTAAAGTCATCCTTCTCCACCGTTGCCACTACCACTGGCTCTTTATAACTTTCTGCCCCCTCTTCAGGAAGATCCTTATGCATTGAGGAGAGGATACATAAGTCTTATTTAGGACTGAGCACTCCCAGGCTCATATTCCCTGCACATTGACCCATTGAGGAGCTGTTATTTTTCTATTGCTTTTACTTTGGTTACTGTCCTAAGCATGTTCAGTTAGGATGCAGCTACATGTGTCTTTCTTTATATTAATTGCAGCACATGGTATTTCTTATTACTTTAAGTTAATGGCTTTTGAAGCGTTATGAAATTTTATATCAATGTCGTCAATATATCTGATCTATTTTCCTCTCTGTTCAATTACTATTGTTGTTGAGTTATTATGACATTTGGTTTTGAACCATGAAGAAAACTTCAAATAAGAGGGAAGTGTGAATGAAATGTCACAATTTCTCAGAAAATTTAGTTCTTGAGTATGCATAAATAAGTCACGCTCCAGAACATTTACATACCAAATGGTAATGTTACCTTTCTTCTTTCTTTATGCTTACAAAATATCTCTAGGTGCCTTTCCTCCCTCTGCTGTCTATGCAAGAAAAGACTTGCTACAAAGATCCACCCACATTGCTACTAAGACTTTCCAAGCCCTTCGCATCTTTGTGAACAATGAGCTAAATGAACTCTATACAGGACTGAAGACAGCACAGAAGTTCCTGAAAACTGGTGGTCGCCTGGTTGCCCTCTCCTTCCATTCCTTAGAAGATCGTATTGTCAAACGCTTTTTGCTTGGGATAAACATGACAGAAAGATTTAACCTGAGCATTAGACAAAAGGTAAAGCAAGCATCACAGCTGGATTCAGATCATGAGATTGAGGAGAGAAGCTCTGTGAGAGCTCCTCTGAAGTGGGAGCTGATACACAAGAAGGTACTTACTCCAGGAGATCAAGATGTCCAAGATAACCCCAGAGGGCGCTCAGCCAAGCTCAGAGCAGCCATCAAATTATGAGGATCTTATTATTTGATCGACAAGTTTTTACTCAATATTTCTGTTTTTCTACCTTAAAACTTCATTTCTGAATATAATGTAAAGTGTGGGGCAGTCTGTGCAATAATGGTATTTAGGTTTTTGGTTTTTTGTTTGTTTGTTTTTTTTTTTTTGAAGAAAATGTAGGAAGGTTTAACATGACATAGAAGTATCGACTCGGGGAGCAGAGTCTTAAGACTAGAAAACTATGTTGATGATGATCTCTGTATTTTATTTTAATTATAAAATGTAATCCTTTCTTTCATGAGGAAATGGAAAAACTGTGACATTGTATTAATCAGAATTCGTATACTCAAGCTGCCGAAGAGAATTTTAAACATATCTGTATGCCCTAAACTCCAAATGGAGATATTCACATTTGCAGTGGAATTTCTATGGCTTATAATTCATGATGATCATGGAATAAATTATCATTTCCCCTACCATAGCTTTCTCAAATGTAAACTCTCGGCAAATTTTAAGTTTTCAACATTCTTTAAATTGTGCCATACTGATGGTCTTCACTAGTGAAGTCATAGTTCATTTGAAGGCATTTTTCAATATGATCCATACTTTATACATTGTAAAGTAAGCATGCAGAACTGCTATCCTTCATTGGTCTCTCCCTTCTCTAAAATAATCTTATTCTGCTTCATGTCACAAGTAATTTATTACCCTCCAGATCTCTCCCATCCCCCTTAACCCTCTTTCTACTTGTGTGTACATATAATATCCATGTATGTATTTATACATATGTATACATATGTAAGTTTAAATCTAGTTTCTTTTGCTTGTGAGAAGAAACCTGCAATATTTGTCATTCTGAATCTGATTTTTTGCTTGACATATCTAGTTTTATCATTTTATTGAAGATAAAAAATCAAGAATAAAATAATCTTATTATTCTTTATGACTGAATAAAATCCCACTGCTTATATGTGCTGTGTTTTTATGTCTGCTCATGTATTTGTGTGTGCAAAGATGTGTGCAGTTGTCCATATACATGTGTTTATTTATGTGTAGGTTAGACGTTGATGGCAAGTGTCTTCCTCAGTCATTTTTTGTCTTATTTATTTGAGGTAGAGTATCACAATTAGCATGAAGCTCACTAGCTGGCTACACTGAATTGCAGTTAGCTGCAGTGTTCTGCCTGTTACCACTTTCTGACACTAGAGTCATAGTTGCTGCCATTGTACCCACTAGTTCAGAAAATAATACCAAGAACTGACAATTAGATTATGAAAATCAGTATAAAAAATGATGCTTCAAATAGGATTCATCAATGGGCTAATAAATAGTTCTTAAAAAATAAAGTACAAATGCACAATTACATATAAATGGTTAACATCTTAACCTATAAGGAAATAGAAATAGAAACTTGCCAAGATAACTTGATAAGAACAGATATTACACCTAACCGTAGAGCTATAGGGAAAGAGATCTAACAATACTAAGGACCTTTGAGAAAGACATGGAAACCTACTGCTGTAGGAGCTTTCAACTATTAGCCTAAAAATTTCCTCAAATATACACATACATAAATTTAAACGAAGTTACCCTATATGGTGCCAATCCCTGTATATGGCGATACATCCCTGACATCATAAGCTATCAAAAAATCCAGTGCCATATATGAGTTACTTCCCTTTGGGTTGTGGGTTTGTGGGAACTCCTTGCTCCCCAAACCATCCAGGTCAATGCTATTGCTCTTGGTTGACCTCCAGAACTTGATGATAGGACCCTGTTGCTGAAGATAACATATACCTAAATTACAGGACATGGGAAAATCAAGCTGGTATTGGGATGGAAGTTTCATCCCTATTGACTAGTTTTCATATTTCTGGGGGTACTGTGTAGGCTTCTGGTGAGAAATGATCAGTAATTTACAGTTATGAACTATGTGAGCTATGATGAATGGCTTGGAAAAAATAGGCTCTATGGTGCAATAATGGTATGAAGGCTCTGGGAGTGTCAGGGCCCAACCACTTTCTTATTAAACTTAAGGGTTTCTCCACTAAATAGAACCCATGCCTGCTACTGTCTTTGGGCCAGGAATCAATGGCTGTGTAGGCCATAGTCCCTAGGGGAGAGCCTACGACTATTCCATTAAATGGGCACAGAATTAAACTGCCCCCTAAATACTTATCAACCACCACATTACTAAACCAGCATATTCCCCATCTTGAAACATCTGTCCTTATGACCACAGGTAAGTGTAGTCCTCACTTCTCATCAAGCAAATGTCTCTTTGCAAGAGAAGGAGACAACAGCAACAACAACTGCAATCAAAATGCGGAGTTGTGGAACTCAGGCCCAACGGATACATCTACAGAACTTCTGTTGTTTTGAACTAGATTGATGATAATGTCATACAAGCACCCCAGGAAAAAACTATCTAACAGGTAACAGGAAAATATCTTGTATTATATGCATGAGAAAGATCCTTAAATAATCATAACATTTACTTTTAAAATTCTATTGTAAAAAACATATGTACCATATTCTGTTGCTAGGCTTTTGCAGGGCTCATAATAAAATTCATGAATGTATTTTAAAAATATAAATCTGGAGAATTGTTTGGGAAAATTCAGACAATATGCAGAAAATGAAAACTAGGAACTACAGTGGTGGGTATTTACACAAAACTTAAAATGAGTCATTACAATGGACATACCGGCTTTGCCAGCAGAACACTTCTGAATCTCTTTAGTGACTGCTTTGCAAGGTTTGTTGAGCATGGCCTTAATTTGGTGTGGCAAGTGAAAATGAATTGAAAGTTTTCAGCTTATGACTTATATAATATTTAATTACCATGCAACTTTTCGTGAATATCCATTTTGTTTCTATCTTTATAAATGATTCATTACATTCTCTTTGAAGCTGCAGGATTTTAAATTTGTCTTTTGTATTTTATATAGCATTTGTATATAATTTGTGTTTCAGATATATATATATATATATATATATATATATATATGTTTGTATATATATATATTTTTGTTATAGTATTTGCTGTAGCCAGAAGTTTATAAGTGGATACAGTATTCCAGTTACATTTTTGTAATTTATTTATAAAATCACTGGAAATATTACAAATGATTATAAACATTTCCTTGATCTTTGTAGAATGTTCCATATTTTCAAAGATTTTTAAAAAATTGATCACTATTTGAAATAATAAACAGATTATGAATCTGTACTACAAACTTCCAAGAAAAATTCCAGATTTCTCCCTTGAAAATTATAAGAAATATTCTTAATGAGATGTAATGATAAAATACATATCCACATGTGCACACACACACACACACACACATGTACACAGCTTCACATTCACTGAGCATGTAGAAAAACTAGCCATTTAGAGAAAACATCAAAACTTCCATTTCTTCTTTTTATACCCCATTGCTCCCATGATCATATAAATATAGTACGTCAATTTTAAATCAACTCTGAAAATAAATACAAAGTTAAATTTAAAACTAAGTTATACATCTTTCTAAATCTGTAAGTCTTTTAACTCATTTTTTATTGCTGCAATATTTTAGTGGATAATTTACATATTTAGTATGCTACAGTTAAATGCAATAACCATTAAAATAACAAGGGAGTTTTGCAAATGCTTGATAGATATAAATTGGTGACAGAAAAGCTAAATCAGAGACATATTTCTCTCAGGTACACAATACCATGTGTTTAATATCAAATGGAACATTATTTGCAAAAAATCACAAATATCCTCAAAGCTTTGTTGTAAAATCAAAATATTTTTATGTTTTTGTCCAATTTTATCTGTGGATAGACACTATTTTCAACTAATGTTTAGTAACACAAGGTGATCTGCCAGATTTCTAAGAGGGTGTAAATATACATTACTTTATAAAGTCTAGAAACAACCTATATCTAGGTTAGTTAATTGGGAAACACCTCCAATTGTGTGGGCATCTTGTTAATGACCATTACCAAACATATAAAGCCTTTGGATAATCATAAAGCATTAGCGTCTCATTTTCTACTGGGTACCGTGTAGATGGCGGGATAGTCTGGGCTCTGCCCAGCCTTGTGGAGACAGTGTGGAAGATTGACAGATCCATCTCCCATGCTGGCATCTCGTGAGTGGCAGAGCCGGTGTCTCTGGCCTCTGCAGCTCATGGCCTAAGGCCTTGTCTGGTCGGAAAGATGACGGCTCTGTAACGCAAGCAGATTGAGTGCCACCATTTTAAATATCTACAGTAACACCTACATATCAATGTCTATACAGTTAAAAACCTATATAGGGTGTTTCAAAGTGTTTTATTTAGAAAGAAAGGATTAAGTAATTTTGAGATATTAAGAGGAACATTGTTCCTCTTAACACAAAACACAAGCACAGAAAGACAAATGTAATACTTTTTTTTCTCTTATGAAGAAACTAGTATTATTAAAAACAAAAATATACCCTGAAAGCAATGAAGCAATTGCTAAAGACGAAGAATTATGGAAAAAAAGACAGCTAAAGAGTCAATATAATTAAAAAACAGTACATTCAAACATGAAACCATCATGGTGAAACACATGGTTACAATTAATGGACCTTTAAAATGTATATAAGTAAATGCCTAATTCATAAAACCAGGAGAAGATGAAAAGAGCAGTTGAATGTGTGTGTCGCAAAGGGGCAGACGGTAAATAATGAGAAGACTATTGATAATTTGAATGAACTGATTATTGTTATTTTCACAGACCAGAAAGTTTTTTTTATTAGAATGGAATACCCATTAGTCCCCTCCCTTGATCTTGGTGTTTATAAATCTCACCATTCCCTTTTTTGTACCCCCATTCCCTATTTTGTACCCCCATATTTCAGAACAAATGTCATCCTTGCTTCTTCTCTCACACTTTACCAATTTTCAAGAATTAGTTCAATCCATGATGCTTGTCTCTTCAGTCTCTAATCCCTTCAGAGGTAAAATGGCCATATGCCAAAATCAAACTGTAGTAAACAAATATCTCCTATAGAAAAGAAAATACATCAAATATTATATTGTTTTGCATTCATTAAAAATGGAAGAAATGGAAGTTTTAATTGACTTAAGAAATATTTATTAAGTAAGAAATCACCTTTGCCAGTGAGACATGAGGGCCATAGCCATCCCAATGTCTTTTTCCTGGAGAGGGACAACAACAGGGGGACCGGAGCCATTACAAAGTCCCCTTCAATTACTAGAGGTCAGGCCTCTACACCTGCCTTCGCAAGATTAGAATCACCACAGCCCTTCCATAGCTTCTAGAGAAGGGAGGAGATGTCAGGGGCAGTCCTGCTTATACACTGAAGGCCTAAAATAAACCGTAGACTTAAAATCAGCAATAGGCCTGTCATACGTGTATACTAACACCAAGTCTTGGATCTCTGTGGAAAAACATTGAAACAGATGGCTATAAGCTATTGTAAACAGGCAGCTTT